TCTCTAATATGATTTAATTGCTGAGGGAGAAGGCCAGGGGACTTAAGTGTCGCTTCTTTGTGCAAACCACCCTCCCAGTTAAGTGTCATGGTGCCCCTCTGTGTGTGTGGGTAGGTGGGAATTTCCATAGCCGCTATAGCATTCGCTGAAATCTGGTTTAACTATGACTTATCCTTTTGTTATGTGCTTGACAGGGAAGACGCCCCCAGTTTTATTGTTTTAAGTGTTTTATTTGTTAACAGCCAGGCAGCAAGGGCCAGAGCTCTGGGCATTGGCAAATGCCCACTGTGCCCTGGTAATAAAGGCTTTCTCTGGGGGCAGACTGTGCTGGGTGCTGAAGGAAGAGGCAGTAGTAAACAGGTATTTTGCATTCAGGACGGCCTCTCTCTCATCTTGAAGTGTGTAATTGTGTTCAGGATAAATTGCGGGAATAAAAAAAATTCACAAGTTGCTCATAAGAAAATAACCCTCTTTCAAAACAAGTAAAAATTTTCAAGGCAGAGCCAAGGGGCCTTAGCAACCAGTCCTGAGATGTTGGCTGGTAAGCAGGGTGGTAGGGAGGGAGTTGTCTTCCAGAAGCAGATTCTAACACCCCTCAGCTCAGCCACTTTGCTGAATCACACCAGGCAACTTCCCCAAAGCAGGCTCTGCAGTTCAATCTTTATGGTAGAAGTACTGAAAACACCAGAAGTCTGGGAAGGGGGAAGCAGCTAGCACCCTGCCCTGCATTGGGGACACCTTAGTTCTTCTTCCTAGTTCTCACTTCCACCTCTGGCTTTGAGATCCTGTCACTTGTCACTTCTGTAAGGATATATTGCTGATTAAATGGACAGGGATGGAGTCTAGCATTTTGTACAATGTCACCTAAATGGAATATTTAACAAAATGGTGTTTAGAAAAGTCTCTGAGCAATTATATTAATTGCCAACCCTAGTGAAGAACTTATGTCCCAACACCAACTCTATCAAGCTGCTATAAGGGTCACTGGTAGTCATCAAAGGAACTTTTCCCTTTTGTAAACAGTAAGCTTTCTTGTCATTGTAATGCCTAAGAAGTGTCTGGTTTAATGGAAGATGCTTGCTCATGAATGAAGGGCTCTCTTTGGTTCAGGTCTTGTTTTTAGGAATTACAGAGCAACTCTGAAAGTTAGCCAAGTGTGGTGGGGCATGTTTATAATCCCAGCACCCTTAAGTATAAAGGAGGAAAATTGCCATAAATTTGAGGATAGCCGGTGCCACGTAGCTCGTAGCAGACCATTCAAGGGCACAGCAAGACTCTTTATGGAAGAACAAACTGCAGGGCTATCATGATGAGGTGCCTACTGCCAAGCCTGAGCAATTTGATCCCTGGAACCCACATGGTGGAAGGAAATAACTGACTCCAGAAAGTTCTCTGACTTCCGCATGCACACAAGAATAAGTAAGTAGAACTATATGAAGGAAAATAGACAACAAAAACCCTGCAAGTTACAAGAAGCACCCCTATAACATAACAACTTCTGGTCTAAATTAAAATTCAGTTTGATTCTGTCTCCCAAACTTCATCCAAATATACCAATTAGCGATCGAAAATGTCTACACATGCCAGCCACTGCTCCACCCTTGAAATAAATTACCTGGCTGTTAACAGCTTCATTTAATGGCTAGATATTTGTACCTGTTTGATTTCTTTTCCCCCAGAACACATACTGTTCCTTCCTTGACAGTATGTCAGCTAATTGAGTTTTAGAAAACTCTGAAGGGTTTTAAAATGCATTCTTTAAGGAAGATACCAAAGTTTCGTATTTCTCTCCTGCTACACATGAGATTGCATTTTGTGACAACCTAATTGTCTCAACATTCATTTCAAGGGGGAAATTTATCAAGTCATAGTGTGTACTCTTCCTGTTGGAAGACATGTTGGAGGATGTGACATGTTGGAGGATGTGAGCAGCAATCATTTTTACATAAAGGCTTCAGGCAGTAGAGTACTGACACACATACTATATTTTCCTTGCTGTCGCTCAAGTCCTTTGCCTCAAATAAATAGGTCATTATTATCCCTTTGCAGCCATCTATGGTGCCTCAGAGTATGGGGCTCTGTTTAATATAACTGCATCCAGCTGACCTGTATAATTTATTGGTGATTTTTTTTTTTTAAAAAAAAAAGGACATTCTCGGGCCACCACCATCAGCCAAAGCACTTTGATGTCTTTCAGCCAAATATTTCATTATCACTTAATTTCCTGTATTGGTACTATAACCATATTAGAAGTTGACTTTTTTTTTGAGACACTGGATGTTGACCTTAATAATTAAAAAATAAGAACTCCATGATGTTGACAGCATCACCATGAGTTTGCAGAGCAGCACAGCTAAGGCAAAAAGTTTACCTGAGTGACTTGATAAATGGACCGGTCATATAGTACCCCATTTTAAGTAATAAGTAGGAATATATAGATTGTGTTATAAAAAGGAAACAAAAACAAAACATTTTTGATTTTTGTCACTACCTTTGTTCTTAAAAAATCCAAAACCGTGCTTCATTCACTCCTCTTGACTCCCAACCACCAACACAAAGGCTACCGTAATTATAGTAGCCTCCTCTCACAATATACTGGCCATGAAAAACTAAAATTAAAGCCAATCATTATTTCCACAGGAACCGTCTTATTAGAAGAGGGCAGAATTAGAGGCAGCTTTAAGTCTCAGGAGCTTTAGTTAGTATCCAAAGAGACCGGTGCCCCTTAGCAGGCAGCCTGTGTACACATAGAAGAAATCCCTAGCTGTCCCAAGAAGATCCTGTTTGGTAGTCCACCCCCTAAAGGCAAGGCCTTGTCTCTAGCATCATTTTACCCTCTCGTTACTCGGTGTCCTTTTTCCTTAATTTCCATGCCTGACTCAGTTACCATACAAACATACGGTGTCCAGTGTCCTGCTTCCTGGTCGCACTTACCCAGGGGCAGCACATTCACCTTGAAAAGCTGGCCTGATTGGCAGGAATTCCCATCACGTTGGTCTTGGCTCATATCTGGGAATAACCCATTCCTTCCTGCTGGGTTCTGAATTCTGTGCTTGTTACCGGAATCCATACAGGAAAGACAAGAAACAGCCCTTCACTGTGTTTTTTCCGATCCCTCTCCACTCTGTTGTTCCTCTGTACTAGCGTTCTGCACCCTCTAAGCTTCCCCAGATCAGTCTCACTCCATCCAGCCACACAGGCCTGTGTCCTCACAGCAGGCCTAATTTCCAGGGTCATGGAGCTCAAGGTCAAGTTTTATTTGGGTTTACTCTACAAGCACCAGACCCTTCGTTTATCTGTAGCTCTAATAATGTTTCCCCTTATTCTTCTAGCTTCCTCTCTTCTAATCTTCTACCAGGGGCCGGTCTATTTCTAGGCTGATTTGGCTTTAAGGCATCTTAGACACCCCATCATACTTTCCCACTGTGTCCTGCCAAGAAGGGATCCTTCAGAAGAGGTGTGGTAACAGATGGAAATTCTCCACTTACTCTAATTGTACCTCTATTTATGCTGCCTCCAGTTTTGTGTTCTTTAAAGGAGCATTTATCTTTGACCTTTGCTTCTTGATGTAACATTTCTTCAAGGACTGAAGAAGACACCCTAAGCTGATACATGGCCGCTACACAGAGAGTCCCCGCAGAGCAGGAACCCTGAGCCTGTATTCTTGCTGTATTTGCTGCTCCCACACATGATATTGGCTTACTAAGTGTGGGGATTTGTGGTCTAGAGAATGATGAGGGTGCTGTGGTGGTGGCGGTGATGATGGTGGTGGTGATGGTGATGATGATGGTGACAGTGGTAGTATGATGATGACCATGATGATGATGTGATGGAGATAGTAATAGTGACGATAGTAGTAGCAGCTACCATCTGTTTAGTTTGAGAAGCCAGACGTGGTGCGAAGTGCTTTGTGTTTATAACAACTCTGTGGGATAGCTTTTAATTACTGCCCCCATTTTGTAGATGGGAAACTGGCTCGGGTATGGTAGATAAATTTCCTGATGTAAGAACAGTCTGTCTTCTGGACTGACTGTTACATCTGCCGCCTATAAACACACTTTTTGTTTGGGAAGTTGACATTAGGTGTCTTTTGTGTACATCTCAGCTCCCTAAAGGCTGGGACAGCCTCCCAGACTTCCCTGCCTCCTGTTATGGCAACCACAGAATCGAACGCTTCACAGTTCCTTATCTTCTGCTTCTAAATTGAACTTCCACCTTGTGCTGTGGATCTTTTCACACATTTGGGAGATGCTCTGGCTCCTGGAACAAATCTTGTTGCTGCAAACTAGTGCAACTCTAAAGCTAAGCCTTGTATCAGTGGATCTGAGAGCTCTCACATTTTGATATATTCTGAAACATTTTTAGTGGCTGAAGGGGTTATCTGCAGGGAGGGTGGTGAGCTCAGAGCTGCCTGAGACTTTGGGTGAGTTATAAAGGTGTGTTTCTGAGAGCTGAGTCAGACTCTCCACTGGAGACCTTCTGGGTGGTATTGAGGTCCCAAAGAGTCAGTCTGGTCCTCACGCCCACACATGACAAAATGAATTGCCTGTCAGTTGCGAATGTCAGCATCTGCTAACTAGACGGGGTCATGTTTTGAACCTTCCTGCTTCAGTTAAGTGACCCTTGAGTTTGACTTGGCTTAGAGCATGTGGTCTAAGCATGGCCATACCTTCCCTCTTCAAGGTGGGAGATCGTCGATGTTCACACAATCACCACACTGGTCTCTCTGCTTCCATTTCAGCACACTGCTTGACAGTTCAAAATACTGGAAGTTGGCATCTCAGTACCCCTTACTTTGAGCCATGTCAATTCCAAGCTTAATTGCTAGCTCTGCCTTAGTTTGATGACTCATTTTGTGAACTAGGAAGAAAAGTATTTAGGGCCATATCAGACATTACTTCTGTAGGGCGTTTCTCACTTCTTTCTCTTTAGTTGGTCTCACTGACTAAATGTCCAAGTGATGGGGGTTCCATCTGACCTTTTTCTCCCTTTTTTTGAAGGCGATGGACAGAATCTGTTTACTAAAGACGTGACAGTGGTCGAGGGAGAAGTCGCGACCATAAGCTGCCAAGTCAATAAGAGTGACGACTCTGTGATTCAGCTGCTGAATCCCAACAGGCAGACCATTTACTTCAAGGACTTCAGGCGTAAGTTTCCACCCCTCAGTAGTAGATGGCAACTTTTTTACTTCTGTGTTGTCTTGATAAAGAGATTGCCAAGGCCACCTTTTTCTAATTTAATGTTAGATGCTTAAAGTTTAGTCAATTCTTTAGAGAGAAGAAAGAGACAGGCAATCATAATCTTTCTACTTAATAGAAACCTTGAATGGTCCCCTTTAAAAGTCTTACTTTGCAATAGGAATTGATTGTAGTAATTCAAGGTGAATTGCAATCGAGTCCCAAATACTTAGCTGACACAAACAACTCAAATAGGGTAAGGCAAGGAAAATACAGCATTCTGATAGGGAATCTGTTTGGTTTAAAGATTAGCATTTCCAAGGCAATCTATATCTGTAATGGCAGGACCAGATCTTTCACCGTAGTCTCTGCTGTACAGAGATAGCCATATGCTGAGATCCATTCAAATGCAATTTAACAAAGGCCAGCCTTTGAAACAGACTTGGTTATGACACCAATGGCTCATACGATTGCTGTGACACCTAACTGTGAAACAATATCCACCAAGCCTGTTTTCCACTGCTTGACTCCTGTTCATTCCCAGTATTTTGGGTCATTCTGTGGGAAAAGGTTGATAAACAAGGAACATTTAAAGGGACTAAAGAAGAGCCAGTGCATGGTGTGGCTCAGAAGCTAAAGGTACTTGTACTGAGAATAACCACCTTAGTTCCAGTCCCAAAATCCTCATGGTGGAAGGAGAAGCCAACTCCACAAAGCAGTACTCTAAATTTCACATGCATGTGGCACTAATAACCTTTGCAAAAATTCATACGGCATTGAAAAAGACCTTTTGTATTAAAAAAAAGAATATCACATATGGTGCTTTTTTGGTGATTCCAATTTCCTGTTTGGGGTCTAAACAGTTTCTGACTGTTAGGTAGACTTACCTAGAAAACAGTAACCAAATAAGGACTCAAAAGGCTCTGGATCAGGCTGCCCAACTTAATTCATATCCAAGTTAAATAGTCTGCTATAACATATTAAAAATTGGTAGTTTATATTTTGCTTTAAAATTACTTTTTGTTCTATTTTCTTTAATAATTTGGACCCACTGGGTTTTTTTTTTTTTTTTGGCTTTGTGTTTTCTTTCTAAAAGTACTTTTATTTCTGACCCTCTAGTCCCTACCTGAGAGAGACTTGCATGTTGTACTCAAAGCCTGCCCCTGTGTAAGTTTCTTTAGGATAGGTCACTAGGGTTATTTGTCTGCATGTAGCTCCTGCAGAAACCTAAAATAGCACCAAATACACATAGAAAAATTTACATTATTTCCATTCAGCGGCTGTTTTTCTCCATCTGACTTTTCCTCTTGCCTAGTTAGGGAAATAGATTGTCCATCATCTTTTGCACAATTACCGACTGTGTTTTGTTCCACAGCTTTGAAGGACAGCAGGTTTCAGCTGCTGAATTTTTCCAGCAGTGAACTCAAAGTGTCACTGACAAATGTCTCAATTTCGGATGAAGGGAGATACTTCTGCCAACTCTACACCGACCCCCCACAGGAGAGTTACACCACCATCACAGTGTTGGGTAAGAAATGCTTCTTAGTCCCCGGGAGCCAATGGGATGACTCAGGCTACCAAATGACTTCCAGTACAAGGACAGGGTTAAGAGTAGGCCCCACTGTTCCAACTTGTTTTAGGGAGAATCACCACTCACCTTGCTGAGTTTTAAAAATAGCCTATTTTACCAAATCCTCTAAGAAATAGTGACTGGTCTTCTTTATAGATTTCACCTGCTCTTGAATGTCTACCCTCAAGCTTAAGCATTGAAGATCAAAAGCAGTTAAAGCCCTTAAATGAGTCACTCACTGCATGAAATGGCGTTACTTCTAATTGTCCCAAGTTTTCCCTCCTGTGCAAGTGAGGGGACGATGGGGTCCCATGGCTGTAGCTTTGGAGTGTACCCATGGCGAAGCTCAGATATCTTATGATGATTTTTCTTCTGACTGACATCCTTATTCAAATGTGCTTGATCCCTTCCTATTTGGCTTTATTTGTATATTGCCCTATTTGTTACTGATAGCCCAGCTCATGCTACAGAACGGAAAACCTTCCCATGAACACACTCCTTGCTACCAGGTGCAGCCATCAGACATAGGCAGTTGAGAGTGGCTTACCTGGAGACAGCAGAGAGCTATTGGCAGGCTGTGAGGTCACCTCCTGTGCTTGTGATTTTCACTGAGATCCCAGTGGCCAGGGTGATGGTGTTATATTGTGTTACAGTCAGCAGGTATCTCTCTGCTCAAGGGTCTGAGTTCATTGCAGTTTATACAGGCACATACTCTGGTGCTTTACAGGAGCTGATCCAGGGTTTTGGAACTGAATTTTCAAGGACATAATACTGTAGAGTGAGGCAGGATCTCTGATTTACACCTTTAGGAAGATGATGAATCAAAGTCTATTTGAGGCAGCAGGCTGCAGCTTTTTGGTGTAATGATATGAAGATTAAAGAGGAAAGATAAATATGAAGGACATTTTCACTGGGTGTGTGCACATATATGTATTTATGAACGTACATATTGAACTGCTTCCTCATTGCTTTATTTAAACACAGCTGTAAAAGGGAAAATATTTTTAATTCATTAAGCCGACTATGTGCCCAGTGCCTGCGTATATTTTTGACATAACTGATTATGCTTTTATAAAGTCAGGCTTAATGTCTGGCCACACAGTTTCTAGTGTGAACTATGTGCAAGGACCTATAGCATGCACGTGTGTGTCTGTCACTTCCAGATTTGATCTGTGCAGGGTCTGCATGGAAAGCTTCTGCTGGAGTGAGTGTTTTGGTATGGTGCAGATAAAGCAGATTCTCTAGGAAGCATTTGAAGTTTCCCATTTCTGCTTGTCTACTCATGTGTGAATACAAACATGTGAATACATGTGTGACTTGACCGTCTACATCTGAGCCTCCATCACTTGCAGCATCTCCATAGGAGTGATGGCAAATAAACAGATTATACCCAGGACATTTTGTATTTTCTGAATGTTTTTTACTACACAGACCTTTAGGTTTTGATATTTTAATTTCACAGAAAAAAAAACCATATTAACAGAGATAAGCCATTCTGCCAAGGTTACAAAGCACACAATAAGAATTAATAATCCGAGGACGTGGGAAGATAGCTCAGTCGGTGAAAGGACCCAGTTCAGTCCCTTGAATATAGACATGATATCATGCACTTGTAGCTCACCCATTAGAGAAGCAAGCAGATGGATCCCTGGGACTGGCCAGCCAGTCTAATCTACTTTTAGAATCCCAAACCACTGAGAGACTTGTCTGAAAAAGCAAGGTAGATGGCGCCTGAGGAACAATGTCTGAGGGCTAGTCTCCACATACATGTGTTGTACACAAAGACAGGAACACGTGCACGTGGATACATGTGTGTGCATATATGCATGTGAGCACACACACAGCATTAAAACCCTAGGGACTAAAAACAGACATTACTAATCTGCCTGACAAGCGCTGTGCCTGGTAGCACAGGTCATTTTCAGTGCTGTGTTTCAGGACATTCTGGAGCTTCACATTTTGTTTTCAGGAGCACATCTTTTGGACCATTGCAAAACACTGCTTCAGTTATTGATGTCTAAGGCATTTATTCTAAGTCACTGTCCTAGGCTAGTTCAGCTGTGCATGTATCCTTTGCTTGGATCAACTGCCAACATATAGACTTCTGGGAGGCATCATGTCTGCAGTCCATTTGGAGGTCTCATTATTCTAGAAGTAATAGGTTCCTGCTTGTATTTTATAGAGGCATTAACTTAAGTGTACTTGAAAGTAATACTAGTCAATGTTCTTTTTGCAGATATTATGCATTCATTTAATATTCTTTCCATTGAAGTTACTCTAGGATTCCTTGACAGAGTAAAATTGTTGTCATCAGTGTGAGAGTCTTTCATATTCCAAAATCTGACAATTTCCACTGATATACATTCAAACCTTCCTCCTAAGGTTTAGAGTTTTAGATATTATAATGAATGGAGAATGATATATTAGCATCCCCATTGCTATCCATGGCGCTCTAAAAAGGATTCCACATGTACTTACACAGCTGTCAAACTCCTCGATAGGTTGAAGATGCTCATTTTAGTGCATATGACTATTAGTTATTTAATGCATTCAGCAAAACCTTTAGCATAATTATAAGATACAGAGATGAGTGTTTGTGAATGACTTCCATGCTGTTCTGTAGTTACATTATGTTTAGATTTCATCTGTGCAGAACCCGAAAACTCCTGCGATAGTTTCTGTGTATTCAGGTGCCATGTGGGCCATTCAGTCTTTCCACTTGTGATGAGTTCATGTCCTTATCCAAGCACACAATGTGGTACTCTTAATATTCTGTTCGTAAGAGGAGATGAACAAGAGAGAGAAGACGCTGTGCTGCGATGAATGCAGTTACTGATAATAGTAGCTAATATTATTACAGTCTTGTCCTCCTAAGATTAGTGCTCACTCTTAAGACTCCAGGAACGGGAGAACCTAATTATTTTAAAGGGTCTTAGAATGAGATCTCACATACTGATCAGCTTTAAGACTCCTCTTTTGTGGTAGTTAATGTGACTCATCTTGATATTGCTGATTTTTTTTAATGTTGTAGGCGTAATGTTTATAATTAGTACCCTTATAGGTTTGAGGTTAGCTAAGAAGAACCTTGACATTCCAGGCTGTTTTCTAGTGCTTCCCTGTGTGTGATTTTTCATTCAGGTTTTCTTCTGCATGCTCCTTGCCAGACAGGTCTGTGGTTGTTTCCATTAATGGCTGCAGGCAGCTCTTACGAGCTTTGTCTGTTTAGTGGATCGTGTATAAGTGTGTTCTCTGGCTAGCAACAGTTTTAATTCATTTTTCTAGAAATGGATTTTATACTTTACTAACCTCTTTTATATTAGGATAGACATTATGAAATCAGGGTGAAGTTAAAGGAGGAAAAAAAAACAGGATAGGATTAATAGGCCAAAAGAATTTTTTCTTCTCCAAGCTTCTGTTCTTAGAAAGGCAAATTTTTCCTCACTTGTATTGTCCAATTCTTCATTGCTCTTTCAGAGTCCAAGAAATGTCAACCCCTGTGAATGTTTCTAATTCAGACTGAATACGGGTTTCTGTATACAGGGAAGAGTCCAAGAGAACTATCTTTACAGCATCAAAAATGTAACTCATTATCAAACCTTATACTTGTAACCAGACGGCTCCCAGCCCACTTGCCTCTTTCTTCTTCTGCTCTCAGTAAAGAGGAGCGATACTGATCCCAACCTTGAGAAAACTGTTTATGAGCTTGGGAAAAATCATTAAGCTATTTCTCAAAATGATGACCTCAACAATATGTTAAGTTTATTGTTTTTCATGGGGGTATATGTTTCAGCTTTTGGAGTTTCCTACACTTTTCACTTGGCTTAAGGGAAAGAAGATGCCAACTGTACAGAAAGGTGATCCTGGGAATCAGAATAGACTGAGATTACTCTGAGGGTCTTAGGGACATAGTGTATCTGTGACAACAGAGGTCAAAGGAACACAGCTAAGACCAGTGGGGAAAAGTCAGATACAAACCTTACCGACTGTCAAGCTCTCAACCCCCAAAGTCGAAAGGTGCTGTTCATGGATTTTCCTGTCTTGTGTACACCCGTCTTCTTTTTATTTCCTTGCTTTGAATTAGCAGACACTGTCGTTGATGTGGGAGGAGCAGACGCCATCTTTAGGACCAAATGGAAGCAGTAAAGGCTTTCCACCAAGAGATGCCAGTGGAGACTGTTACATTTGAATGTAAATTGTCTGTTATGGTGTCGTGTATTCTGTTTTGTTTTGTTTTGTTTTTTTTCAACAACTGGCATGCTTTCAGGAAGTGATCAGATCTTGAGGTCTCTGACTTAATCAATGAATTCATTCTTGGATTGATTTGTAACATGATAGCATTTGTGAGAATGGTAAGTCATGGGAGATAGGGACTCACTGAAAGAAACATGCCTTGGGAAGCATGTCCTTGGAGTGACATCTTCTTGCCGTGGCCTGTTCTAGGTCCATTCTACTTGCTTCCTGTCTGCCATGACATCCTCCGCACAGCTCCATCAGCTGTGGGCTCAGGAACACAGATTCCAGTGACCAAGAACTGAAGCCTTTGTAACTGTGCATTGAAAGAAGCAGTCCTGCTTGTCTTTGTTTTGCTTGGGTGTTTGGCCAACACAAAGAAAAGTAACACGGAAAGAAATGAGCAGTTGGTGGAGGTTATAAGAGGCCTGGGGTGAGGAGTCTTTGTGTTTCTTGAGATCCACTGTAAAACATGAGAGAACAAAGGCGAGGTGTCCAGAACACAGAGCATGACTGGCAGACTGCACGGACACCATGCTCCACTGAGACTTAGTCATCCGTGTGGAGCCTCAGCAACCTCTGGATCTGTTCCCATTAAGGAAAGTCCTTGATTCTGAGTGCCCATCAAGGTGTCTCTCCCAGAGTCATGAAGTGGGAGGAAACACTGCATTCAGAGGGGATTCCAGCATGATCAGTTGTTTTAGCCATTTGCCCTCTATTGTGTCCTTAGTGTCATACTCTGACAATGATATTAATAATTACAGTTCTCATCAGGAAGTATCCAGTGTATCAACTTCAAGATCTATTTTCTTTACTGTTTTCATTTCCACCCAGATCTCAAGAGACTGCCTTTTCTCTTCTCTGCCTCAATTTGTTTGTAAGAACCTGCCTATAGCCTTTCACTCCTTAGTCGTTTCCTTCCATTTCTCTGGTGCTGTCATTTACCAAGATCTTGGTTTCTTTAGGTTTAGACAGTTATTTCCATAGACATTTGGTTCAACAGTGGCATTTCCCCTTCAGTGTTCCCACCATCCTGCACCCAGAGTGCAGTGTAGTATTTGCTTATTCTATGTATGTACTTTCTGTGTATTCCCTGTGCACTATCTAGACATACAAATGACAACCTGTAACCCACCCAACTATCATTTGCACAAATACACTATGAAGACGACACAGCCAGCCAAAGCATCCTGTTTCTTTGTCACTGCCTTTCTATCTCTCTAAAAATTCCATCAAATGTACACCCTTAAACTGGATGCTAAACTGTCTCCTTCTGCTTAGTTTTTTTAATTTTTTTTTTTTTTTTGCCATGAGTAAGTACTCCTTTGGGCCATACCAACATTAGCAATCCACTCGAGTGAGCAAACGTGTTGTTTTCCTCGTACATGGGGAACAGAGAGCACCTTTGCTCCAGCAGTTACCCCTCCCTGACTCCACACTTGCTGAGTGCACCATCTTGCTGAGAAGCATATGCAACAAATCATTTTGTTTTTTCTCTTTCATCATTCTCTATACGAGTTTTCAATTGCTCTAATTCAGTATGAAAGTCTTCCTGTGGACAGAATTTTCACTTTGGACTGGAACAGTTGGAAATTCCAAATAACATGGTTTAATCCCATAATTTATTGAAGCGGTATCAGAGATGTATTATTCAACTTGATGATCAGGATGGCATGTTTATACATATTTAATTTCTTGTTTCTCTTCTGAGTTGAGAAACTTATTAATCATAAGTCTCAACCCTGTCTTTGCTTATTCATGGTGGTCAGGGCTCCTATTCTTAGATTTGTTCTTCTGGATTCTATATTCTTACTGATTTTTATTTCAGGAGACTCAGTCTTGAGGTAGGACTGCACATTATATGAAGTTGCACTGTCAACTCCATTTCATTGTAGAAAAAAAGATAACTCCCGTCATCATCTTCACTACTGTCATGCACACACTTTTGATGTGTTATTCAGTATGTCAGCCCTCAGGGCTTTTGTTTTGACTATTTTATTACAGAGATATTTAATATGCTTATAGAAAAGTGGTTTTAATTCTGATATCTGAGTGTCTTTCAAGCATTTAGGGATCTCGTTCACCTTTGTTTCCAAAATCTGAGCATTAGAATTCGGAATATGGTAAATGCCTGGCACTCCCTATATTGCCAAACCTTTCTTTTAATGACACTCCCCCCACTGGAGGACAGGAGTACATCTTATACAGATCTCTCTGGTTCGGTGGTGCTGGTTCTGAGGCATACTTTTTCTGTGTGTGTTTGTGGTGAGTGATTTTTCTAAGGAACCCCAAGCTTTTTATCTTTGTTAGTAGACTTTGAAGTCTTTCCTATGAAGATTGAAATCCAAGGGTTGAGTTCTAGGAGAATTATTGCTTTCAGGGGCTTCCAGGTAAGGACATTAATTTCAATAATGTGCACTCCTTGATTTTATATCTATTTCCTTACCCATGACTAATACCTGGATTGCTAATTTTGGATCAGTGATGATTCAGGAATTGGAGACTGGCCACTGGGATACTAAATAGGATTCATTTAGAAAAACATTCTGAATTAACAGATTATGCATGATCCACTTCACATGACATTGTCTATCTCATTCCTTCCCCTCCTCTGGATGTTTATTTTGCCGTTGGGATGTGATCCCATCAGCAATGTTAGGTGTCTGCCTCTTTGTGGTGACAGCAATGCCGATTCCCAGTGAGTAGGTGAACCTATCCATGAGTGGATCCTGTGCTTATAAAGCATGTATGTTTGATTTGTAGTCCCTCCACGTAACTTGATGATCGATATCCAGAAAGACACTGCAGTTGAAGGGGAGGAGATTGAAGTCAACTGCACCGCCATGGCCAGCAAGCCAGCCACCACCATCAGATGGTTCAAAGGGAACAAGGAGCTCAAAGGTACGATGCAGACTGCCCAGGCATGAAGTAGTTAGCTGGCACTCGACTCTAGCAAGCAGACGTTTGTGAAAATTATAGACAAAGGCCCCTGCAACAAAATTGTTTATTCAGATATGGTTTCTAATCAATTAGCAAAAGCATCTGAGGCCAGAAGAAAATGACTTTCATTGTTTTCATCCATCGCCTCCCTCTGTGGTTTGAGAGCTGGTGCTGAACCAAACATATAAACTCGAACTCTTCAGATCAGGAGGAGCTTGTGCTAGGGCTATCCCGCAGTCCGAGGCTGTTCCTCTCTGTACCTCAGATGTCGCTGCATTTATCTTCTGCTTTGGGCTGACTTAATGGCTCAGAGCCCCACATTTCCATGGCCTGCGTTTTTTAAAATCCCGAGTCATTCTGCCATGCACCATAGCCTCAGCTGTTGGTGTGTGCTTGCCGGGAGATTGGTGGCATTGCAGACCAAGAGCTTAAGTTCATTATGAATTTGCAAGGCCTACCTTGCTGGCAAACCTGTGATTCTATCACCTGATTTGCCAGCCCATTCTTTTTGCAAAGACTCTGATTTGGGGTGACCCTGCAGGCAGCTCCTAAAGCCCTGCTCCTGTTTGACCATTTTCTGTTGCTTATCCTGTCTCTCATACCCCGTCAGTATTTGGCTCTCTCTCTTTCTTAGCTTGCCCTAAAAGTAGTCTTGGGCAAAGGACTCTGGAGTTCACCTCTACTTAACAGAAATACTAGCTGTGTGCCACAGTTTCCTGTGGAAATGGGAACAATAATAATAGAGTATTATTATGAAGATGAGATGAATGAATATTTACAAAGCATTAAGGAAGTGCCTGAGACAGAATAAGTGCTATATGTGTGCTCATTAAATAAATAAATGGTGTGAGGAAGAAAATAGCCCTTTTAGGACGGTGATATGGAACGCTATATCCAGAAACAGAGAATTCTGTAGAGAGCTGCAAGTTTCCGAAAGCTTGTTCTGTTTAAATCTCCTATTTCCTAAGTATGGTTTTAGAAGGAAAGAGGTTCTCATTTCCCCTCTTCCCCTCTGTCTAAGTGAATTGAGCCATTAAATGTGGACCGATAAGTACAAAACATTCAAAGAAAGTTAATGGTGTGCCTTGCTCCCGGGAGTGCTGGGTTCAGGAAGGGACTGCCTAGGCCTATTCATTCCCTCCGGAAGCCTCCTCCCTCCTTTTCTGGGTGTTCTTGGATGTGTCTCCCATCTGGCCCAAAGCCGTATATCTTACTTTGCTCTAGTCCACTGCCACTACATTTTTTGTGGTCTTCCAGAAGTCTCCGAATTTAAACATTTCAATTACAATTTCAATTATGTAAATCCATTTACTTACTTTCTCTCTTAATTGTTGATGATGGGATGGGCAAAGGGGGTTGTTTATATCTCTGCTGCTGATTGAATTGCTTAGGGGATTTGGATGATGCCCTGGGATTTTTTAGAGGCATAACAGCCTTGTAGATATTTGAAGTTCAGATGATTGTAGCAGTGCAAAGCCTTTGTCCTTCCTCCTCCCAGACAGCCAGATGTCAAAGTGGTTGAACTTGGAACTGACTTGGCAGGAGGTTCAAAGATAGAAATATACATGATATGTTTGAATAAAAGTAATGTGTATTATTTACATTTGGAATCTATCTAAAGTACTGTTATACATGGCTGAAAAGAAAGAAACTAAGGAAAATATCATTTTTTTGGGGTCCCTAGCCACAGGTTACCGTGACCAGCAATACAACAGTACCATCATCTTAGGTAAAATAACACTCCTGGGGTTGGGGAGAAGGAAGAAGATCTTGATATATTTTGTCTCCTCCAGGCAAATCGGAGGTGGAAGAGTGGTCGGACATGTACACTGTGACCAGTCAGCTGATGCTGACAGTGCACAAGGAGGATGATGGTGTCCCAGTGATCTGTCAGGTGGAGCACCCTGCGGTCACTGGAAACCTGCAGACCCAGCGGTATCTGGAAGTCCAGTGTGAGTAGCCAAGCATCTTTTTGAGGCCAGTGCTTAAAAGCTTCTCAGGAGTCATTCATTGGAAGTATATATCCATCTCATAAGTATAGATGGATGTCCCTCTGTTGTCTTGGGAGAAAAATAATCTAAGGATCATTTTGCTGAAATGCCATTGTATTATCAAGTGCCAATGAGATTGTGGAGATACAGATTACAGCCATCTAGACCATGGAGGTAAAATAGTGTCAATCTGCTTTAGCGTGTGACTTAAAATCAGCCTCTTTCAGTGTTGACTGCCATCACTCCTAAGCCAACTAAGTCAGATGATCCTCCTTCCCCTTCTAGTCCATCAGATACGCTGGATATTTATTTTTATCCCCATTTCATACCAACATTCTGTTCTTAATTATAAATTATCTTCTACTTAGCCTTAGTTAGAACAAAGAGTTGAAAGGTGAACTCTTTGGGCTTGGCACCATGTGATGGCTTTATCCATAATGCTACAGTGTAGTGAGTGAGACTGTCCCTAACCATTTCCTGTCAACCAAAGATGTCTTCTCCTCCATACCCTTCTGCTTGGGGTGGGCGGTGTGTGTCTTCTTTCTGTCCAGAGCCATGCTCCAGCCAAGATTGTGACCAAGTTGCCATTTTCTCTCCCTTTTCGTCAAGATTTCTGTAGTCTGGCCCGGAAAGTCCCAGGATACAGTGGAACATGTGTAGTGGATTAGAGATCTGATGGAAGAAATACATTAGCAGCTCTAGGAATTCTTGTCTAGTGTCCTAGGGCCATTGAAACAAATGACAGCACCACAGACTGGGCCTAAAACCACAGGAATTCACACACAATTCTAGGTGCCAATGAATCAAAATCAAGGTCTCAGTTTGACCACCTTCCCATCAACGGCCTTATTGAGGTTCTTCATGCTTCTTCCAGGACAAGTGCGCTGGGAGTTCCCCGCAAGGGCTTAGGGCTCCATGGCTATCACTCAGGGGGTGTTCTTGTCATTGTGTATCATACAAGGACACACTGTCACTGAATTTAGGGCCCACCCAATTAATCCAGAGTGGTCTCATCTTGAGATATTTAAGACTGCATGTGCAGAGGTTATTTTTCAAAATTAGATCATATTCACAGGTTCGTGGGGTTTGAATTTGCCTTTGGAAGCTATTTTTTAGTTGATACATTCCTTATTTTCTGTGTAAATTGTCCAAGTAGCCAAGTGGTGGTGGTACACATCTTTAATCCCAGCACTTTGGAGGCAGAAGTAGGCAAAACTCTGTGAGTTCAAGGCCAGCCTGGTCTACCGAGCAAGTTCCAGGACAGGCTCCATAGCTATTGAGAAAGCCTGTCTCAAAAAACAAAAAGCAAAAAAACAAACAAAAAAAATGTCCAAGTAGTATAAGATGTAGGGGAAGTTATAAACTCATAAGAGACCATCTTATCCAACCTCGTCTTGCCCTGCGAGCATGGCTCAATTTACATTAGAGAATGCAGGTTTTTCTTGTTAATTCATTTCCTCTACTTCATTATATGGCTTCATTATGAGCATCATGCTTATAATTTTCATATCACTAAAACTATTGTGGTGTAATGTCCCTATAATGGGAAAACAGAAATGATCAGATATTATCTAAATTGGCAGATACTAGATTTCTTGTGACTTTGTTAATATGTAATTCATTTAAGCAAACTTAATATCCATTAACGTTCCTTGTAGGGGCCCATTAGCTTTAATAATACATTAGCTCCTTCGTGAGTCCTGAGTGGATATCCACCCAGTTTCCACCCCTAAACCCTTTAAGTAGTTTTCTGGAGTATCTTTTAAATAGAGGGTAGCCCCTCCCACCTACAGAATCATGCTCACTGCCAACTGCAGGCTATTTCAAGCCATACACCTCCTACCCCTGGAAAATGTGATCATGATTCCTAGCCTTGTTTTCATTTTCTGTAGAATCAAGAGGGAATTGTCCTTCCAAGAAAATGAATACGGCTCTGTATCTGAATCCATTTGGCTCCAATCTAATAAAGTACTGTGGGCTCCTCCCTTCAGGAGAGTGGCTGTAACACCTCCCAAAAATGAGTCTGCAGCTGCTGATCAGCTCAGACCTTTACCACGGCAGCCTTTTGTAGTTGCCTCTCCTCTTCCCTCAGCTTAAGTTACATAATCAATGTGTTCTTGATGCTTTTATATATATATATATGTGTGTGTGTGTGTGTGTGTGTGTGTGTGTGTGTGTGTGTAGATGAAGAAACTTCTTGTAAAAAGGAAGGTTAAGAATTGCAGAGCTTTATGTAATTCTGAAAGGGCATTACAGGTCTGGTTTGTAATCTCAAGTAAGACTCTCCGAACTTAACCAAGTGCCCTGACTCTTCAGTCTATGAGCATCTTTCCATTCCCACAGCTGTGCTGACCCTCATGAAGTCAGCCAGGAAGTCTCCAGTGTCTTCAAACACAGTTGGGATTCTCTGCATCATTCCCAACCATCCTGAGTCTGCTTAAACACTAGTAGCTATTCTGTAGCAAAGGACTCCTGTTCCCAAGTCTTAGGCTCAAGTGCATTAGACCCTAAGTCTTAGCTGTTGATCAGTGTGGGTAGCTCAGCTCTATTCCTTCATAGCACAGTCCTTTCTCTCAGGCAGGCAGACATCTTGGTGACCTGGAGGAAAGGGACAGGATTCTTAGAACAGTTGCTCCAAAAGCAATCTATGTAGACACTGAACTCTTGTGGACACCCACATGGAATAGCAGTACACTTCTCCCCCCTATTTTTAAATTGACTCAAACCCCTGAAGTTAGCACCTTGATGTCCTCACTAACTCCTAAAAAGTCCTTTGATAACAATAGACCTGGGAAGAAAATAAACTCAGTTACCACGTTTTGCTTGTAATATAAGGAGTTCCTTTACCCATTAGAGTTTTGGGTAATTTCTTCAACCACTGATAAGACCTATTTTCCTCTTTATTGCTTTAATCTAACTATGATTTGTGTATTTTAGCTGTAAAAATCATATTTTATTCATTATGTGTTTTCATGTAAAATTTTCAAGTGCACCATAGTTCTTTTTAATGCCCTGTCCTTTGTAAACTACGGTTTCTTCAAACTCTCATCAGGATCAACAGTTAGTTACCAGGAAATACTGATCCCTTTACAGCCCTCACTTTCTCCTCTGAGTAGCTAAGACCTGGCGCGGGGGGGGGGGGGGCAAGTAGATCTGCACAGTGGTAAGGATCTTCAGTTGCTTTCATTTTGGCCAGTTTTGGACAATAAAGGTTTATGGGTTGACCCCTCTGCTCCATCTAAGATAAATAAATATCAACAGGGACATGAGCAGAACTATGGGACTGGCGGTAGACTTCCATATGAGTTACTTTGTGTTTTACAAGTGACGGTCACAGGAAAATGAAATGACAAACTCCACTCCATGGCATTGAGTATCTGACTTGAAGCATGACAGAGGAAGGGGCAATAAGAAGAAAAAAAGTGGAGTACTTCTCCCCTAAAGATGGAGTGTCTCCATGCAACAGAGTGAACAAGGTTTGAGCTACAGCTTGGCATTGCTTTTGTCTAGTGGATTCAAGTCCTAATTAATTGAACCAGTATTTTGTAGTGTTTGTTTGTTAGTACCTCTATTTGTGATACCAGGAGAAATTGTTGTGCCCAATTATGTGAAAAATCAGCCAGATGTGTATGCTGTCATACTTTTAATAACCCTTAAATTTTGGTGAGTACAGATATTAATTGTGTAGTATGCATTGAAGTGATTAACATCAATGTAATTTATCATCTGGAGATTTCTGAACATAAATAAATGAGTTGTTTTGTTCAGCAAGGTGTTGACCCCTCCAGAATCAGTGAGTTAAAGTCCCCCCTCCTCTTTTTTATTATAAATATGAAAGGCACCACAATCAGCCAAGTGTTCAGTTATTTGATTTTCTGGGGCATTAGCCGCTCTTGTTTGTGACATTTCCCTGTTGGGTGCTCGTTTGCAAGCTCATTAATAAGGTTTTCTCATAGGAACATTGCTGGGAATGAAGAACATACAGTAGGGCTCTTAGTTTGCTAGCTTTCATTCTGAGACCCAGCAAGGGGACAGCAACATGCAGCTAAATGTTTAAAACAGAAAATAATTATGTTAGCATGGTCGAATTCAGAGCTCTGCTGTCTTAGATGTTGTGCAGAGAACAGTTGTGCCTTTTAAATCTGCTGAGCTATATGACCCTAAAGTCTGTCTGTGCTCCATCCATCCTCTCCCACCCTCTGACATCTTGCAAACTCCAGATAGGTGTGTTGCCCAGATTTACACCATGGTTGATTAGAACGGAGTGTGATGCCGTTGTAGCGTGGTTAGTAGAGCGTCAGATCCGAGGGAATGCACTCTTGTGGAGTAACAGCCTGTTTAAACGAGGCCAGTTCACGGTGTCCGTGCTAACAGAAAGCTGTCTAAATAGCATCAAGTGGCAACACATCGCAACCTAAGCTGGGAATTCAAAAGGAAACCGTGACCCTCAGTATGGAACGCAGAGTACTGTGCTGGAGGGAAGAAAGCCTTGCTCTGGACGCACACGAGCATGAGCTGGAATGACTGTTGCGTGGCTTTCGTTACCCCCCCCCACACACACACACACATGCACACACACCGCAGTCTTGTTCTTTCAAATATTTTGCAAGATGTCCTCATTTTGTTCAGGTTTTGTGCATATGTCCATTTGTGAAAAGAGAAGCAAATTAAGAGCTGAATCTAGAAAGAGAATGAAACAAAACCTCTAGAAGCTGGTGCTGGAGCCCCTCCCTGCCCAGATTCTCACCTGACAGTTAATCGTGTATGTGGGCATCATTCTCAAAATGAGTTTTATTGACTGGGTGTATGCAGGTATTTTATAAATCCATATTCCCATTCATCCAAGGTCTAGAGAAGGGTGGGTGGTGTTTGGTTTTTGTATTTTCCCCCCATTCCCTCAACTGGAGGAAAATTGGGATTTGAAGGGATGAACAAAATTCATTCTTTATCTGTGACAAAAT